ATGTATGTATGTATGTATGTATGTATGTATGTATGTATGTATGTATGTATGTATGTATGTATGTGTGCGTTTGTGTGAGAGTAAATATAAGTTTGAATGAACATGCATGTGTGTGTATGTATAAGTGTGTGAGAAAGAGAGACTGAATGAATATGTATGTTTGTGTGTGTGTGTGTGTGTGTGTGTGTATTGTGTGCGTGTGTGAGAGTAAATGAAAGATTGAATCGGCATGTCTGTCTGTCTGTCTGTCTGTATGCATGTATGTGTGTGTATTTGTGTGTGAGTGTGAGAGAGTGAATGAACATGTATGTATAATAATGTGTGTATGTATGTTTGTATGTGTGAGAGGGAGAGTGGATGCATGTTAGAGGTGAGGGTTAGAGTGAATGAACGAGCATACATGTATGAGAGAGAGAGAGAGAGAGAGAGAGAGAGAGAGTACCATTCCATATACCCGCTCTTAGCGTATTTTTGGCGTATTTTTAGGCTCACAGTTTTGGCCCAACTTTCAGCTTCCTTTCGGCAAACCTCTTGGCTCATTAGCATGGCACAAGACCATACTTTCTATACAATTTTGGCCTGTTTTTGGATCTCCCTTGAGGCATATTACTTTCGACTTTCGGTCATCTGAATAAATGTTTCTGTAATGTATACACAAGTCGTCTGTTTTCTCTACAGTGTGTCTTCCTTACAGCTAATAATATATGGGCGACAGCAGCATCGCAATATTGGCCAAATCCCAAGATTTCCGAACATGAGACATAAATTCATATGGATATTGTTAAAAAGTGAATGCTGCCTCTATATTGCTGTGCTGCTGTGTCCCAATTTCATGATCTGCACTAAGCAGAAGATTTCTAAATAGGTGGGGTTACCTTAAGATCAGACACTTCTAAATGTTTATGTGGCGACAATTGTGACACGGGATATTCTCCGAGGACAGCTCTCTGATACTTTGTTATCTGGAATAAATTTTATATTCCAATATAATAGCTAATCGTTTCTAATGTAACAATAATTGTGGCTTCCTTTATAAAGGAGTGCGAATCGAGAATTGCCTTTCTTCTCTAAAACACAAGTGTCGCCACATGGGATATATTACGAGCACTTCACCCAACTAATAGCAGTAGTCGGACAAGGGATTGAGAGTGATCTCCCTTCGCCTCAGTCAATATTGGATTCCACTCGTCTCATCACCTCACTGCTGGTCTTTTGGCCCGTGGTCTTCAGAAATTGCAGAGGGCATGCTTTTATACATAGGCCGAGGCCAGGCGCAAGTAGAAAGCCTATATTGACACCCACTTGTATGCAAGAGTAGATTAATATATATATATATATGACGTAATATTCGTATCTGGCATTCTACAAAAATACCTAAATGATACAAGGGGTCTGAATTCTACCCCTGTACGTCCACATCAAGGTTTTCAAAATGGGACGGTCAATAGGATTTCTCTGACTGTGAGTGTGTGGGTGGCTAGGATTTTTTCAGAAAAAAATATATTGTCTCCAAAGTTGATTGAAAACTAAATATGCTTCCATCTGTTGGACAAAAAGAACATGTCGGCCACCAAAAATACGTTGTTGCAAGGTGGATTTTTGAAAAATGTTTTATTTAGGCTCATAGTTTATATTAACTGATTTTGCATTTGTAGCTGCAAAATATCTAGTCTCCATACAAAATCCAACGTCGCCCACTCCCCCTTCCAAAGGGACATGAAATGGTCGGCCCCTCAGGCCTAGTGTAGTAAAAACCAATATGCTTGTCATTTATCTTTCTCTCCTATTAGCTATTTTCTGTGGTCGTCGTGTTTCCAGATTAGAAATCAAACCAAATAAGAACTGTCGCTGCACACGTTGGAAAATACCAGTACCATTGAACTTTTATTTTATCCCTGTAGGCTTGGGAATAATTCCCAAATCCCACTTGGATTATCAGAGATGTGCATTCTTACTAGCCTGCTAGCCCGTGTCAGTTTGTCGAATGTAAAAGGTATTGTGAAGGCTAGTATAATAGAGGGTCGTTATGTGGTATCGCTATTCGGCATAGCAAACGTTTAAGGTTAATGTCCATCTCATAGTGAACAAAATTAACCCTGTTTCGGGTAATGGAGGCACGAAAAACACCCAGTTTCACCTGCACAATTTTTTCAAACTCTGAACTGATGTAGGCAACGTTTCAGTTGCAAGATACAACTTAATACCGGTGTTCAGACGAAATAAACCCGGCAGTTTTCACCCTTGGCAATGCCATTAGGCTTTACCACGCCGGAAGCTGGCGATGAGCCTCGTTCTGACTCATCGAACTCCGTAACGTAGTTACCGTTGCCGTTATCGACGTCCCTTCTGTTTTCAACAGAAAAACGATCGCTTTTGCTCCGCTGACCTCTACGTTTCGCTCACTGCTGTATCATTCCAAGTGTGTCTTCTTCCAAGATGAATACAAGGCTTCACATTCAAGGTATTTAAGATCACAATTATTCCACTTAACAGTATTAAGATGTTAAATTAGACGTGAAATTGGTCGTTGTTAGGCAGCATTATCGGGACTGAAGATGGCGGCCGCCATTTGCAATTGTCATAACTGAAAATGTTAGATTGTAAACTTGACATGTGGTTCTCAGATGAAACCTGTTCGTACATTATAGTGTCGGGCGATGTTGTACAGATGTAAGATAACCCGTATTCCGTGAAAGGCAGCTGTTTGGCCCATTTTATTGGTTAAATGTTGTCTTGCAGTACAGCCCGTAACCCTACATACACTTGGACTTCGAGGTGTCAAAGGGCCGAGGTCGAGTGGCATACTGTAGCTGTCAGAAGTCATGAATTGTGATTTTTTGAACGTAGCCGTCGGCGTACATTTAACTGAGGCTAGCTTTCGTTTTTCTTTTTCAGCTCGGGAGGACATAATTCGCTATTATGGCACTCCTGCGGCTGTGAGTTTGTGGCCGTCTCAGGATGAGGAGTCCGACTGTGTATGTAGTTTTACATGCCCACCCTATAAATTCTTCCGTCTAGTATAGCTGATTTGTTGCACATTAAGTCTGCCCAGTCCCTATAATAAAGTGTGATTCGTTTCCTTTGCAAAAGTATCCCGTATTTCTGTCTCACTTGACTTCCTTTGTCCCTCCCTCCACCCCTCGATGTGTAGCGTTCCCTGGCTGTGTCCCCTTCCCGTTGTCCCGACCCCCTGAGCGTTTTCACTCCGTTCTGGGCCCGCCCTGTCTACGGTGAGACGCTCCCCGCCCCCGTCACCATCAACCACGCCGCTTACTATCCTGCCCCAAGTGACGACGATGACAGTGACTACTGGGTGTACGAGGACGAGGACGACCACAGCTTTGTGGATGACAGAGAGATTCATCCCCTTAGAAAGGCGCTGACGAGAGCGGCTGCCTTCTTTAGGAAGATCTTCTCTTAGACTCCTTATCCTTTTAATGTCTGAATGTGTGCAAGTGAGTGAATGAATGAGCAGGTGTGTATGTATGTATGTATGTATGTATGTATGTATGTATGTATGTATGTATGTATGTATGTATGTATGTATGTATGTATGTATGTATGTGTGCGTTTGTGTGAGAGTAAATATAAGTTTGAATGAACATGCATGTGTGTGTATGTATAAGTGTGTGAGAAAGAGAGACTGAATGAATATGTATGTTTGTGTGTGTGTGTGTGTGTGTGTATTGTGTGCGTGTGTGAGAGTAAATGAAAGATTGAATCGGCATGTCTGTCTGTCTGTCTGTATGCATGTGTGTGTGTGTATTTGTGTGTGAGTGTGAGAGAGTGAATGAGCATGTATGTATAATAATGTGTGTATGTATGTTTGTATGTGTGAGAGGGAGAGTGGATGCATGTTAGAGGTGAGGGTTAGAGTGAATGAACGAGCATACATGTATGAGAGAGAGAGAGAGAGAGAGAGAGAGAGAGAGAGAGAGAGAGAGAGAGTACCATTCCATATACCCGCTCTTAGCGTATTTTTGGCGTATTTTTAGGCTCACAGTTTTGGCCCAACTTTCAGTTTCCTTTCGGCAAACCTCTTGGCTTATTAGCATGGCACAAGACCATACTTTCTATACAATTTTGGCCCGTTTTTGGATCTCCCTTGAGGCATATTACTTTCGACTTTCGGTCATCTGAATAAATGTTTCTGTAATGTATACACAAGTCGTCTGTTTTCTCTACAGTGTTTCTTCCTTACAGCTAATAATATATGGGCGACAGCAGCATCGCAATATTGGCCAAATCCCAAGATTTCCGAACATGAGACATAAATTCATATGGATATTGTTAAAAAGTAAATGCTGCCTCTATATTGCTGTGCTGCTGTGTCCCAATTTCATGATCTGCACTTAGCAGAAGATTTCTAAATAGGTGGGGTTACCTTAAGATCAGACACTTCTAAATGTTTATGTGGCGACAATTGTGACACGGGATATTCTCCGAGGACAGCTCTCTGATACTTTGTTATCTGGAATAAATTTTATATTCCAATATAATAGCTAATCGTTTCTAATGTAACAATAATTGTGGCTTCCTTTATAAAGGAGTGCGAATCGAGAATTGCCTTTCTTCTCTAAAACACAAGTGTCGCCACATGGGATATATTACGAGCACTTCACCCAACTAATAGCAGTAGTCGGACAAGGGATTGAGAGTGATCTCCCTTCGCCTCAGTCAATATTGGATTCCACTCGTCTCATCACCTTACTGCTGGTCTTTTGGCCCGTGGTCTTCAGAAATTGCAGAGGGCATGCTTTAATACATAGGCCGAGGCCAGGCGCAAGTAGAAAGCCTATATTGACACCCACTTGTATGCAAGAGTAGATTAATATATATATATATATATATATATATATATATATATATATATATATATGACGTAATATTCGTATCTGGCATTCTACAAAAATACCTAAATGATACAAGGGGTCTGAATTCTACCCCTGTACGTCCACATCAAGGTTTTCAAAATGGGACCGTCAATAGGATTTCTCTGACTGTGAGTGTGTGGGTGGCTAGGATTTTTTCAGAAAAAAATATATTGTCTCCAAAGTTGATTGAAAACTAAATATGCTTCCATCTGTTGGACAAAAAGAACATGTCGGCCACCAAAAATACGTTGTTGCAAGGTGGGTTTTTGAAAAATGTTTTATTTAGGCTCATAGTTTATATTAACTGATTTTGCATTTGTAGCTGCAAAATATCTAGTCTCCATACAAAATCCAACGTCGCCCACTCCCCCTTCCAAAGGAACATGAAATGGTCGGCCCCTCAGGCCTAGTGTAGTAAAAACCAATATGCTTGTCATTTATCTTTCTCTCCTATTAGCTATTTTCTGTGGTCGTCGTGTTTCCAGATTAGAAATCAAACCAAATAAGAACTGTCGCTGCACACGTTGGAAAATACCAGTACCATTGAACTTTTATTTTATCCCTGTAGGCTTGGGAATAATTCCCAAATCCCACTTGGATTATCAGAGATTTGCATTCTTACTAGCCTGCTAGCCCGTGTCAGTTTGTCGAATGTAAAAGGTATTGTGAAGGCTAGTATAATAGAGGGTCGTTATATGGTATCGCTATTCGGCATAGCAAACGTTTAAGGTTAATGTCCATCTCATAGTGAACAAAATTCACCCTGTTTCGGGTAATGGAGGCACGAAAAACACCCAGTTTCACCTGCACAATTTTTTCAAACTCTGAACTGATGTAGGCAACGTTTCAGTTGTAAGATACAACTTAATACCGGTGTTCAGACGAAATAAACCCGGCAGTTTTCACCCTTGGCAATGCCATTAGGCTTTACCACGCCGGAAGCTGGCGATGAGCCTCGTTCTGACTCATCGAACTCCGTAACGTAGTTACCGTTGCCGTTATCGACGTCCCTTCTGTTTTCAACAGAAAAACGATCGCTTTTGCTCCGCTGACCTCTACGTTTCGCTCACTGCTGTATCATTCCAAGTGTGTCTTCTTCCAAGATGAATACAAGGCTTCACATTCAAGGTATTTAAGATCACAATTATTCCACTTAACAGTATTAAGATGTTAAATTAGACGTGAAATTGGTCGTTGTTAGGCAGCAGTATCGGGACTGAAGATGGCGGCCGCCATTTGCAATTGTCATAACTTGAAATGTTAGATTGTAAACTTGACATGTGGTTCTCAGATGAAACCTGTTCGTACATTATAGTGTCGGGCGATGTTGTACAGATGTAAGATAACCCGTATTCCGTGAAAGGCAGCTGTTTGGCCCATTTTATTGGTTAAATGTTGTCTTGCAGTACAGCCCGTAACCCTACATACACTTGGACTTCGAGGTGTCAAAGGGCCGAGGTCGAGTGGCATACTGTAGCTGTCAGAAGTCATGAATTGTGATTTTTTGAACGTAGCCGTCGGCGTACATTTAACTGAGGCTAGCTTTCGTTTTTCTTTTTCAGCTCGGGAGGACATAATTCGCTATTATGGCACTCCTGCGGCTGTGAGTTTGTGGCCGTCTCAGGATGAGGAGTCCGACTGTGTATGTAGTTTTACATGCCCACCCTATAAATTCTTCCGTCTAGTATAGCTGATTTGTTGCACATTAAGTCTGCCCAGTCCCTATAATAAAGTGTGATTCGTTTCCTTTGCAAAAGTATCCCGTATTTCTGTCTCACTTGACTTCCTTTGTCCCTCCCTCCACCCCTCGATGTGTAGCGTTCCCTGGCTGTGTCCCCTTCCCGTTGTCCCGACCCCCTGAGCGTTTTCACTCCGTTCTGGGCCCGCCCTGTCTACGGTGAGACGCTCCCCGCCCCCGTCACCATCAACCACGCCGCTTACTATCCTGCCCCAAGTGACGACGATGACAGTGACTACTGGGTGTACGAGGACGAGGACGACCACAGCTTTGTGGATGACAGAGAGATTCATCCCCTTAGAAAGGCGCTGACGAGAGCGGCTGCCTTCTTTAGGAAGATCTTCTCTTAGACTCCTTATCCTTTTAATGTCTGAATGTGTGCAAGTGAGTGAATGAATGAGCAGGTGTGTATGTATGTATGTATGTATGTATGTATGTATGTATGTATGTATGTATGTATGTATGTATGTATGTATGTATGTATGTATGTATGTGTGCGTTTGTGTGAGAGTAAATATAAGTTTGAATGAACATGCATGTGTGTGTATGTATAAGTGTGTGAGAAAGAGAGACTGAATGAATATGTATGTTTGTGTGTGTGTGTGTGTGTGTGTATTGTGTGCGTGTGTGAGAGTAAATGAAAGATTGAATCGGCATGTCTGTCTGTCTGTCTGTATGCATGTGTGTGTGTGTATTTGTGTGTGAGTGTGAGAGAGTGAATGAGCATGTATGTATAATAATGTGTGTATGTATGTTTGTATGTGTGAGAGGGAGAGTGGATGCATGTTAGAGGTGAGGGTTAGAGTGAATGAACGAGCATACATGTATGAGAGAGAGAGAGAGAGAGAGAGAGAGAGAGAGAGAGAGAGAGAGAGAGTACCATTCCATATACCCGCTCTTAGCGTATTTTTGGCGTATTTTTAGGCTCACAGTTTTGGCCCAACTTTCAGTTTCCTTTCGGCAAACCTCTTGGCTTATTAGCATGGCACAAGACCATACTTTCTATACAATTTTGGCCCGTTTTTGGATCTCCCTTGAGGCATATTACTTTCGACTTTCGGTCATCTGAATAAATGTTTCTGTAATGTATACACAAGTCGTCTGTTTTCTCTACAGTGTTTCTTCCTTACAGCTAATAATATATGGGCGACAGCAGCATCGCAATATTGGCCAAATCCCAAGATTTCCGAACATGAGACATAAATTCATATGGATATTGTTAAAAAGTGAATGCTGCCTCTATATTGCTGTGCTGCTGTGTCCCAATTTCATGATCTGCACTTAGCAGAAGATTTCTAAATAGGTGGGGTTACCTTAAGATCAGACACTTCTAAATGTTTATGTGGCGACAATTGTGACACGGGATATTCTCCGAGGACAGCTCTCTGATACTTTGTTATCTGGAATAAATTTTATATTCCAATATAATAGCTAATCGTTTCTAATGTAACAATAATTGTGGCTTCCTTTATAAAGGAGTGCGAATCGAGAATTGCCTTTCTTCTCTAAAACACAAGTGTCGCCACATGGGATATATTACGAGCACTTCACCCAACTAATAGCAGTAGTCGGACAAGGGATTGAGAGTGATCTCCCTTCGCCTCAGTCAATATTGGATTCCACTCGTCTCATCACCTCACTGCTGGTCTTTTGGCCCGTGGTCTTCAGAAATTGCAGAGGGCATGCTTTTATACATAGGCCGAAGCCAGGCGCAAGTAGATAGCCTATATTGACACCCACTTGTATGCAAGAGTAGATTAATATATATATATATATATGACGTAATATTCGTATCTGGCATTCTACAAAAATACCTAAATGATACAAGGGGTCTGAATTCTACCCCTGTACGTCCACATCAAGGTTTTCAAAATGGGACGGTCAATAGGATTTCTCTGACTGTGAGTGTGTGGGTGGCTAGGATTTTTTCAGAAAAAAATATATTGTCTCCAAAGTTGATTGAAAACTAAATATGCTTCCATCTGTTGGACAAAAAGAACATGTCGGCCACCAAAAATACGTTGTTGCAAGGTGGGTTTTTGAAAAATGTTTTATTTAGGCTCATAGTTTATATTAACTGATTTTGCATTTGTAGCTGCAAAATATCTAGTCTCCATACTTATCCAACGTCGCCCACTCCCCCTTCCAAAGGAACATGAAATGGTCGGCCCCTCAGGCCTAGTGTAGTAAAAACCAATATGCTTGTCATTTATCTTTCTCTCCTATTAGCTATTTTCTGTGGTCGTCGTGTTTCCAGATTAGAAATCAAACCAAATAAGAACTGTCGCTGCACACGTTGGAAAATACCAGTACCATTGAACTTTTATTTTATCCCTGTAGGCTTGGGAATAATTCCCAAATCCCACTTGGATTATCAGAGATGTGCATTCTTACTAGTCTGCTAGCCCGTGTCAGTTTGTCGAATGTAAAAGGTATTGTGAAGGCTAGTATAATAGAGGGTCGTTATGTGGTATCGCTATTCGGCATAGCAAACGTTTAAGGTTAATGTCCATCTCATAGTGAACAAAATTAACCCTGTTTCGGGTAATGGAGGCACGAAAAACACCCAGTTTCACCTGCACAATTTTTTCAAACTCTGAACTGATGTAGGCAACGTTTCAGTTGTAAGATACAACTTAATACCGGTGTTCAGACGAAATAAACCCGGCAGTTTTCACCCTTGGCAATGCCATTAGGCTTTACCACGCCGGAAGCTGGCGATGAGCCTCGTTCTGACTCATCGAACTCCGTAACGTAGTTACCGTTGCCGTTATCGACGTCCCTTCTGTTTTCAACAGAAAAACGATCGCTTTTGCTCCGCTGACCTCTACGTTTCGCTCACTGCTGTATCATTCCAAGTGTGTCTTCTTCCAAGATGAATACAAGGCTTCACATTCAAGGTATTTAAGATCACAATTATTCCACTTAACAGTATTAACATGCTAAATTAGACGTGAAATTGGTCGTTGTTAGGCAGCATTATCGGGACTGAAGATGGCGGCCGCCATTTGCAATTGTCATAACTGAAAATGTTAGATTGTAAACTTGACATGTGGTTCTCAGATGAAACCTGTTCGTACATTATAGTGTCGGGCGATGTTGTACAGATGTAAGATAACCCGTATTCCGTGAAAGGCAGCTGTTTGGCCCATTTTATTGGTTAAATGTTGACTTGCAGTACAGCCCGTAACCCTACATACACTTGGACTTCGAGGTGTCAAAGGGCCGAGGTCGAGTGGCATACTGTAGCTGTCAGAAGTCATGAATTGTGATTTTTTGAACGTAGCCGTCGGCGTACATTTAACTGAGGCTAGCTTTCGTTTTTCTTTTTCAGCTCGGGAGGACATAATTCGCTATTATGGCACTCCTGCGGCTGTGAGTTTGTGGCCGTCTCAGGATGAGGAGTCCGACTGTGTATGTAGTTTTACATGCCCACCCTATAAATTCTTCCGTCTAGTATAGCTGATTTGTTGCACATTAAGTCTGCCCAGTCCCTATAATAAAGTGTGATTCGTTTTCTTTGCAAAAGTATCCCGTATTTCTGTCTCACTTGACTTCCTTTGTCCCTCCCTCCACCCCTCGATGTGTAGCGTTCCCTGGCTGTGTCCCCTTCCCGTTGTCCCGACCCCCTGAGCGTTTTCACTCCGTTCTGGGCCCGCCCTGTCTACGGTGAGACGCTCCCCGCCCCCGTCACCATCAACCACGCCGCTTACTATCCTGCCCCAAGTGACGACGATGACAGTGACTACTGGGTGTACGAGGACGAGGACGACCACAGCTTTGTGGATGACAGAGAGATTCATCCCCTTAGAAAGGCGCTGACGAGAGCGGCTGCCTTCTTTAGGAAGATCTTCTCTTAGACTCCTTATCCTTTTAATGTCTGAATGTGTGCAAGTGAGTGAATGAATGAGCAGGTGTGTATGTATGTATGTATGTATGTATGTATGTATGTATGTATGTATGTATGTATGTATGTATGTATGTATGTATGTATGTATGTGTGCGTTTGTGTGAGAGTAAATATAAGTTTGAATGAACATGCATGTGTGTGTATGTATAAGTGTGTGAGAAAGAGAGACTGAATGAATATGTATGTTTGTGTGTGTGTGTGTGTGTGTGTATTGTGTGCGTGTGTGAGAGTAAATGAAAGATTGAATCGGCATGTCTGTCTGTCTGTCTGTATGCATGTATGTGTGTGTATTTGTGTGTGAGTGTGAGAGAGTGAATGAGCATGTATGTATAATAATGTGTGTATGTATGTTTGTATGTGTGAGAGGGAGAGTGGATGCATGTTAGAGGTGAGGGTTAGAGTGAATGAACGAGCATACAGTATGAGAGAGAGAGAGAGAGAGAGAGAGAGAGAGAGAGAGAGAGAGAGAGAGAGAGAGAGAGAGTACCATTCCATATACCCGCTCTTAGCGTATTTTTGGCGTATTTTTAGGCTCACAGTTTTGGCCCAACTTTCAGCTTCCTTTCGGCAAACCTCTTGGCTTATTAGCATGGCACAAGACCATACTTTCTATACAATTTTGGCCCGTTTTTGGATCTCCCTTGAGGCATATTACTTTCGACTTTCGGTCATCTGAATAAATGTTTCTGTAATGTATACACAAGTCGTCTGTTTTCTCTACAGTGTTTCTTCCTTACAGCTAATAATATATGGGCGACAGCAGCATCGCAATATTGGCCAAATCCCAAGATTTCCGAACATGAGACATAAATTCATATGGATATTGTTAAAAAGTGAATGCTGCCTCTATATTGCTGTGCTGCTGTGCTGCTGTGTCCCAATTTCATGATCTGCACTTAGCAGAAGATTTCTAAATAGGTGGGGTTACCTTAAGATCAGACACTTCTAAATGTTTATGTGGCGACAATTGTGACACGGGATATTCTCCGAGGACAGCTCTCTGATACTTTGTTATCTGGAATAAATTTTATATTCCAATATAATAGCTAATCGTTTCTAATGTAACAATATTTGTGGCTTCCTTTATAAAGGAGTGCGAATCGAGAATTGCCTTTCTTCTCTAAAACACATGTGTCGCCACATGGGATATATTACGAGCACTTCACCCAACTAATAGCAGTAGTCGGACAAGGGATTGAGAGTGATCTCCCTTCGCCTCAGTCAATATTGGATTCCACTCGTCTCATCACCTCACTGCTGGTCTTTTGGCCCGTGGTCTTCAGAAATTGCAGAGGGCATGCTTTTATACATAGGCCGAGGCCAGGCGCAAGTAGATAGCCTATATTGACACCCACTTGTATGCAAGAGTAGATTAATATATATATATATATGACGTAATATTCGTATCTGGCATTCTACAAAAATACCTAAATGATACAAGGGGTCTGAATTCTACCCCTGTACGTCCACATCAAGGTTTTCAAAATGGGACGGTCAATAGGATTTCTCTGACTGTGAGTGTGTGGGTGGCTAGGATTTTTTCAGAAAAAAATATATTGTCTCCAAAGTTGATTGAAAACTAAACATGCTTCCGTCTGTTGGACAAAAAGAACATGTCGGCCACCAAAAATACGTTGTTGCAAGGTGGGTTTTTGAAAAATGTTTTATTTAGGCTCATAGTTTATATTAACTGATTTTGCATTTGTAGCTGCAAAATATCTAGTCTCCATACAAAATCCAACGTCGCCCACTCCCCCTTCCAAAGGAACATGAAATGGTCGGCCCCTCAGGCCTAGTGTAGTAAAAACCAATATGCTTGTCATTTATCTTTCTCTCCTATTAGCTATTTTCTGTGGTCGTCGTGTTTCCAGATTAGAAATCAAACCAAATAAGAACTGTCGCTGCACACGTTGGAAAATACCAGTACCATTGAACTTTTATTTTATCCCTGTAGGCTTGGGAATAATTCCCAAATCCCACTTGGATTATCAGAGATGTGCATTCTTACTAGCCTGCTAGCCCGTGTCAGTTTGTCGAATGTAAAAGGTATTGTGAAGGCTAGTATAATAGAGGGTCGTTATATGGTATCGCTATTCGGCATAGCAAACGTTTAAGGTTAATGTCCATCTCATAGTGAACAAAATTCACCCTGTTTCGGGTAATGGAGGCACAAAAAACACCCAGTTTCACCTGCACAATTTTTTCAAACTCTGAACTGATGTAGGCAACGTTTCAGTTGTAAGATACAACTTAATACCGGTGTTCAGACGAAATAAACCCGGCAGTTTTCACCCTTGGCAATGCCATTAGGCTTTACCACGCCGGAAGCTGGCGATGAGCCTCGTTCTGACTCATCGAACTCCGTAACGTAGTTACCGTTGCCGTTATCGACGTCCCTTCTGTTTTCAACAGAAAAACGATCGCTTTTGCTCCGCTGACCTCTACGTTTCGCTCACTGCTGTATCATTCCAAGTGTGTCTTCTTCCAAGATGAATACAAGGCTTCACATTCAAGGTATTTAAGATCACAATTATTCCACTTAACAGTATTAACATGCTAAATTAGACGTGAAATTGGTCGTTGTTAGGCAGCATTATCGGGACTGAAGATGGCGGCCGCCATTTGCAATTGTCATAACTGAAAATGTTAGATTGTAAACTTGACATGTGGTTCTCAGATGAAACCTGTTCGTACATTATAGTGTCGGGCGATGTTGTACAGATGTAAGATAACCCGTATTCCGTGAAAGGCAGCTGTTTGGCCCATTTTATTGGTTAAATGTTGTCTTGCAGTACAGCCCGTAACCCTACATACACTTGGACTTCGAGGTGTCAAAGGGCCGAGGTCGAGTGGCATACTGTAGCTGTCAGAAGTCATGAATTGTGATTTTTTGAACGTAGCCGTCGGCGTACATTTAACTGAGGCTAGCTTTCGTTTTTCTTTTTCAGCTCGGGAGGACATAATTCGCTATTATGGCACTCCTGCGGCTGTGAGTTTGTGGCCGTCTCAGGATGAGGAGTCCGACTGTGTATGTAGTTTTACATGCCCACCCTATAAATTCTTCCGTCTAGTATAGCTGATTTGTTGCACATTAAGTCTGCCCAGTCCCTATAATAAAGTGTGATTCGTTTTCTTTGCAAAAGTATCCCGTATTTCTGTCTCACTTGACTTCCTTTGTCCCTCCCTCCACCCCTCGATGTGTAGCGTTCCCTGGCTGTGTCCCCTTCCCGTTGTCCCGACCCCCTGAGCGTTTTCACTCCGTTCTGGGCCCGCCCTGTCTACGGTGAGACGCTCCCCGCCCCCGTCACCATCAACCACGCCGCTTACTATCCTGCCCCAAGTGACGACGATGACAGTGACTACTGGGTGTACGAGGACGAGGACGACCACAGCTTTGTGGATGACAGAGAGATTCATCCCCTTAGAAAGGCGCTGACGAGAGCGGCTGCCTTCTTTAGGAAGATCTTCTCTTAGACTCCTTATCCTTTTAATGTCTGAATGTGTGCAAGTGAGTGAATGAATGAGCAGGTATGTATGTATGTATGTATGTATGTATGTATGTATGTATGTATGTATGTATGTATGTATGTATGTATGTATGTATGTATGTATGTATGTATGTATGTATGTATGTATGTGTGCGTTTGTGTGAGAGTAAATATAAGTTTGAATGAACATGCATGTGTGTGTATGTATAAGTGTGTGAGAAAGAGAGACTGAATGAATATGTATGTTTGTGTGTTTGTGTGTGTGTGTGTATTGTGTGCGTGTGTGAGAGTAAATGAAAGATTGAATCGGCATGTCTGTCTGTCTGTCTGTATGCATGTGTGTGTGTGTATTTGTGTGTGAGTGTGAGAGAGTGAATGAGCATGTATGTATAATAATGTGTGTATGTATGTTTGTATGTGTGAGAGGGAGAGTGGATGCATGTTAGAGGTGAGGGTTAGAGTGAATGAACGAGCATACATGTATGGAGAGAGAGAGAGAGAGAGAGAGAGAGAGAGAGAGAGAGAGAGAGAGAGAGAGAGAGAGAGAGAGTACCATTCCATATACCCGCTCTTAGCGTATTTTTGGCGTATTTTTAGGCTCACAGTTTTGGCCCAACTTTCAGCTTCCTTTCGGCAAACCTCTTGGCTTATTAGCATGGCACAAGACCATACTTTCTATACAATTTTGGCCCGTTTTTGGATCTCCCTTGAGGCATATTACTTTCGACTTTCGGTCATCTGAATAAATGTTTCTGTAATGTATACACAAGTCGTCTGTTTTCTCTACAGTGTTTCTTCCTTACAGCTAATAATATATGGGCGACAGCAGCATCGCAATATTGGCCAAATCCCAAGATTTCCGAACATGAGACATAAATTCATATGGATATTGTTAAAAAATGAATGCTGCCTCTATACTGCTGTGCTGCTGTGTCCCAATTTCATGATCTGCACTTAGCAGAAGATTTCTAAATAGGTGGGGTTACCTTAAGATCAGACACTTCTAAATGTTTATGTGGCGACAATTGTGACACGGGATATTCTCCGAGGACAGCTCTCTGATACTTTGTTATCTGGAATAAATTTTATATTCCAATATAATAGCTAATCGTTTCTAATGTAACAATAATTGTGGCTTCCTTTATAAAGGAGTGCGAATCGAGAATTGCCTTTCTTCTCTAAAACACAAGTGTCGCCACATGGGATATATTACGAGCACTTCACCCAACTAATAGCAGTAGTCGGACAAGGGATTGAGAGTGATCTCCCTTCGCCTCAGTCAATATTGGATTCCACTCGTCTCATCACCTCACTGCTGGTCTTTTGGCCCGTGGTCTTCAGAAATTGCAGAGGGCATGCTTTTATACATAGGCCGAGGCCAGGCGCAAGTAGAAAGCCTATATTGACACCCACTTGTATGCAAGAGTAGATTAATATATATATATATATGACGTAATATTCGTATCTGGCATTCTACAAAAATACCTAAATGATACAAGGGGTCTGAATTCTACCCCTGTACGTCCACATCAAGGTTTTCAAAATGGGACGGTCAATAGGATTTCTCTGACTGTGAGTGTGTGGGTGGCTAGGATT